CTCATTTCTATTTTATTCAATGAGCTATAATTTGGTAATATTATTATATTAAAAGTTGCCCTATTTTAGCCAGTGGGAGGCCCTGTAATTTGACTTCTGTGTCCTTAGTATGTTCCTATCATGTTTGAGCACCTTTTTAAAATGGATCATCTTATGCTTTCCCTCTCCCAATCCTAGCATCTACTGTTTTCCAAGGAGTTCTGCCCTTTTCAATAGAGAAAAGAATATGGAAAAATATCTGGGTACTGGGTGTTCCTATTGCCCTCTATGAGAGCTGAGGTAAAGAACAGATGCATATATGTGCACACACATTTACATCTATATTGATTTCTATGTCTGTATTTATTCAAATTCTCAAGTTCATTCAGATATCTCCATCTCATTGTTTATTCAAGTTGTCTTTTTTCCTTTGTTTTAATTCCCTATTGAAACTTGGCCCTTTCCCTTAATATACTACTAAATCAACTTGCCTAAATGTTGCCAATTCGTAATCCTTTGCCATGAGATGCAGGCTCTGACTCTACCCATCCGGTGGCCCCCGTGCATGTTCACCCTCACTCCAGCTCTAAAAGCCTGCAATGCAGGGTTTCCTCAATGGTTGGATGCTGCCATCCTCCACACCCAGGTGGGACTCTGACCTCTCTGGTGGAGCTGCCTCCTCAAGAGCAAGCCCTGCTCACTTTGACTGATGCTGACCCTGTTCCAATCTGTCTCCGTGCAGGGATGCCCTCCTTATTCTACTTGGGATCCTACATTCTGTGATTGGTGGGGTGAGCAGCAGTTGTCCCTAGAACTTTGTAACTAAAAGCCAGAAAAAGAAAGAAAGGAAACAGCTTTTAAAAAGTGTATTTGGCCTTTGGCATTGTGGCATAACAGGTTTAGCCACTGCCTGTGATGCTAGCATCCATAAGGGCACCAGTTCCTGTCCTGGCTGCTCCACTCCCAATTCAATTTTCTGCTAAATGGCCTGGGAAAAGCAACAGAAGATGACCTAAATGCTTGGGACCCTGCCACCCATGTGGGAGACACAGATGAAGCTCCTGGCTGCTGGCTTCGATCTGACCAACCCTGGATGTTGTAGTCATTTGGGGAGTAAACCAGCAAATGGAAGATCTTTCTCTCTCTTTTTCTCTCTGTAACTCTAACTCTCAAATAAATTAATAAACCTTTAAAATATACATATATATGTATTTGAATCAACTTATGAATGATGTATTCCTTTTCTGGGACTGTCATAAAAATTGCCACAAACTAACTGACCTAAAACAATAGAAATGTATTGTTTCCTTGTTCGAAGTGTTGTCAGGGCATTGCTCTTTCTAATGGTTCTACAGGATGACCTTTCTTTGTTTCTTCTTAGCTCTTATGCTTTGCAGTCATATCTGCACAGAGCTTATGTCTACGGGTTACCAGCAATATCCTTGACGTTTTTTGGCTTTCAGGCACAAAATTCTAGTCTCTGACTGGATCATCAAATGGCATTCTCCCTGTGTGTCTGCATCTCTTCTTATAAGGACATCAGTCGTATTGGACTAAGCATCCATACTGCTTATTAACTTTACTAATTATAGCCAATCAACAAATTAATTAAGGGATGAGTGACATTTAGAAACCAGCATCTGGATGGTAGGCACACCTGTTGCTTGAACACTTTTTGGAAAAATCACACCTCTCAGGTCTGTTGATGCTTAAGTCCTCAGGGTTGTGTTCTGGGTCTTTTTTCTCTTTACCTTAGATTCTTTGCTCTGTTTCCATGATTTCATACAATGTATATTTAACAAGTTTCAATGCTATACTACTTCCAAACTAGACCTGACTCCAAAGGTTCAGATTTTATAACATATGTTACCTAAATACTTACACTTGGTTGTTTTACATATTCAGAACCAAATTTCTCCCTTCTCACCTATCTGTGCTCAAAACTATATCTTCTCACATCTTTCCTGTGATAGGTAGATTAAGTCAGATACCCAGAAACCCAATACTTAATATAATTGTTGGCTATTTGTAATCCTTTGAGAAATGTCTGTTGAGGTCATTTACCTAATTTAAATATCAGATATATTTTTTTTCTTGCTGTTGAGTTCAGCTGTCAGGGTGCTCCATCTTTCTCTGAATATTGCTTTTCAATTCAGCAATTCCTTTTTTACTATAATCAGTGAAGGAGCAAATTGCATTTTTTCATTTAGTGATTATATTTTTATTTATCATATATTTAATTTTTTCTTATCACCTGTTCTTTTTCCACTTGTGCTGACTTTTACTTCAGTGTTTCTTATTCATTTCAAATGGATATTATTTCTTCATTTCTATAAAAATTCTGAGCATACTTTCAGGCTTTCCTATATAGCTCATCTTAGTAAATTTATATTTCTGGTTATTGATTTGTTGTGCCTGGTAGTAACTTTTCAGTCAATGATAACAGGAATACATTTGTGGTCCCATAAGAGTCTATTATCTTATCTCACTAGTCCAAGTGATCAATTTCAGTTCACAATTGATCACACTGATAGGTCTAAGAGTCAAAGGGATCACACAAACAAGACTAGTGTCTGCTAATACTAACTGATAGAATCAAAAAGGGAGAGAAGGATCCATCATGGGAAGCGGGATACACAGCAGACTCATATAATGGCAGATGTCCTAAATAGCACTCTGGCCTCAGAATCAGCCCTTAAGGCATTTGGATCTGGCTGAAGAGCCCATGAGAGTATTTTAGGCATGGAAAGCCAAGACACTCGGGGGCGGGGGGGGGGAAGAAGACCTAAATGAAAGATCTCTGCAAGTGAGATCCCAGTGGAAAGAACGGGGCCATCAAAGAAGGAGGTACCTTTCTCTGAAGGGAGGAGAGAACTTCCACTTTGACTAAGACCCTGTCTGAATAAGATCGAAGTTGGCGAACTCAAGAGGCTTCCATAGCCTTGGCAACTCATGACTAGAGCCTAGGGAGATTACTGACGCCATAAATAAGAGTGTCAAATTGTTAAGTCAACAACAGGAGTCACTGTGTGCTTACTCCTCATGTAGGATCTCTGTCCTTAATGTGTTGTCCAATGTGAAGTAATGCTATAACTAGTACTCAAACAGTATTTTACATGTTGTGTTTCTGTGTGGGTGCAAACTGATGAAATCTTTACTTAATATATACTAAATTGATCTTCTGTGTATAAAAAGAATTGAAAATGAATCTTGATTTGAATGGAATGGGAGAGGGAGCGTGAGATGGGAGGGGTGCGAGTGGGAGGGAAGTTATGGGGGTGGAAAAGCCATTGTAATCCATAAACTGTACTTTGGAAATTTATATTTACTACATAAAAGTTAAAAAAAAGAGTCTATTGTTACATCTTAACTGTTTCAGTTTTTTTTTTTTTTTTTTTAAAGATTACTCTATGATGTTTGGACAAGGACAGAATTGCTTAACACATTTCTCAGGATGCCTTCCTGTCATTAGGTGCTATATGACTGTGTTTTGGAAGTCAGATTCATGGGCTCAATTTGACTGGGTAGTTTTGTTTGTTTATTTTCTACTTTTCGTTCCTATTTTGCTTTGCAGTCATATCCGCACAGAGCTTATGTCTTAGTTCAGAACATGTTTTTACAGTGGTGATTTAGGGCTCCTCTTCTGTACTATTGACAAGACATCTTAAGTCCAACCGCAGAAATTGTCAGTGGCTTGGTTTACTTCCAGGTCATAAAGCTATGCCTATTTGTTTTTCCTCCCTGGTCCTCTCTAAGCTGTAGTCTTAGCAGAACAACTTTCTAAAAGCCTCCTTTTACACATAAGAGGACCCTATTCATGGCACTTACTGAAGTAGTGGGACTGTTGCTGCACCCCCAGTTCATCACTCGTGTGAAACTGTCCAAGTTGACATTCTCCAGCAGGGGCCAAACTCTCTGCAGTCTCTGCCTGATGCAGTCTGTGGAGCCTAGGCAATTTTTTATTTTTAAATTTTTAAAATTTGTTAAAAGCAATTTTAATATTTTAGCACTTCATTTAAATTTTTTTATTTATATAGGGGGACAAATTTCATATATACAGGTTTTTTTTTTTTTTTTTTGATAGGCAGAGTTACACAGTGAGGGAGAGAGACAGAAAGAAAGGTCTTCCTTCTGTTGGTTCATCCCCCAAATGGCCGCCACGGCCAGCGCACTGCGCCGATCCGAAGCCAGGAGCCAGGTGCTTCCTCCTGTTCTCCCATGCAGGTGCAGGGCCCAAGGACCTGGGCCATCCTCCACCGCATTCCCGGGCCACAGCAGAGAGCTAGAATGGAAGAGGAGTAACCGGGACAGAATCCGGCGCCCTGACCGAGACTAGAACCTGGGGTGCCGGAGCCACAGGGGGAGGATTAGCCTAGTGAGCCATGGCGCCAGCCGATATACACAGCTTTAAGAGCATAATGCTACTTTTCCACCCTCTCTTCCCTCCCTCTCATACTCCCAATCTTCATCCTCCTTCCTTTCTGATTCTGCTTTTAGTTTTTGCAATGACAGATTTTCAGTGTACTTTATATTCATAAGCTTAACCCTCCACTAAATAAATAATTAAACAAGTAAGTAGAAAAACCACTGTTCCTCAGGAGTATAGACAAGGGATATAAACACTAATCAAATCTCAAAATGTTAATTTTGTTCATATTGAGGACACTCACTACTTTTAATTTTGGCTTCATTTCTGGTCCAAGATCACATTTACTTGATGATTCAGAATCAGATTCTTCATTTACTCATGTATTCATTTACTCTTCTTCTGAAGAAATATTTAAAAAGTGCATAACAAATGCTATATACTTGGTTGGGAAGAGCATATTGGGCTTGGAGTCTACTTTAAAGACACAGGGTCTGCGAGGAAAGATAACACAGGTATATTCATTCATAATGAGCATTCTAGAGTATTTACTGTATGTGATGCCCTTTGCATATATTAATTCATCTAATTCCTATAGCAACAAGATGAGACGAATGTAATTATTATACTCTCCTGCTGTTTCCAATTATTTCAGGTAGTGTGGCTGAATCGACTGCGTTGACACAACTTGGTCATGGAGGAACCAGGAGGCCGGCTGGCTGAGAGATCTGAAGAAAGCAAAAGGAACTCCGCTTGAGGTCAGATAAGTGAATGTCAGGACAATGTACTTGGCTCTGATGCAGTGGATGATAAAGAATTTTGAAGGACTTTGGCAAGGGTGTGATCAGAGGTTAAGAATGTTAGTCTTATCTTAGCCTACAAACCAAGGTGCATCAGAGTGGAAGAGATTCCAGGGAGGAGATTATGAGGCTTTGGTGGCCTGGTTAGCAGGGTGTTCATGAGAATGGAGCAGAAAGCTCCGCATAACAGCCTTTAGTGACAGATTAGAAACAGATGGAAAGGGGAAAGCACTCTATAGGGAAGGGGGTCAGAGGTGCCTGGATGAAGGTTTGGAAGATCTGACGCTTATCAGTGTTTTGCCATTAACTAGCTGGGTGCACACTTGGGCACCACAATTTTCTTCTGTATCTTGTTTTCTTGGTTTCAAATAAGGTGATAAGAGATTAGAGGCTCTAAAGTAAAAGTTGCTACATTCCTCCCCCACACCCCTTTTAAACCAGCAAAGCATTTTCTGGAAGTCTGATTGTCAACATTTGTATATGGGGGTTTATATACACAATTTGCATTCTGGCTTCCCTTGAAAAACTGGAAGATCTGGTAATATCAGCCTCCTGATCTCAGATGACAGCACTATGCTTAATCTTCAGTAACACAGCTAGAATGACCTGATTTGACCCTGTAGGCATTTGAATATTTGTAACCCTGGCCTAGCTGATTGTCAGTTTTCTTCCATTTGCAAGTCATGTGAATCTATACCTCTCACACATTCTAAGCAAATGGAGTGAGAGCAATGGTAAAAGTAAGAAGTTCATTTGCTTAGAATGTGTGAGAGGTACAGATTCACATGACTTGCGGCTGGTGCCAAAAAGGTTAAGAGTTTTGGCCGGCGCCGTGGCTCAATAGGCTAATCCTCCGCCTTGTGGCGCCGGCACACCAGGTTCTAGTCCCGGTCGGGGCACCGGATTCTGTCCCGGTTGCCCCTCTTCCAGGCCAGCTCTCTGCTGTGGCCAGGGAGTGCAGTGGAGGATGGCCCAAGTGCTTGGGCCCTACACCCCATGGGAGACCAGGAGAAGCACCTGGCTCCTGCCATCGGATCAGCACGGTGCGCCGGCCGCGGCGGCCATTGGAGGGTGAACCAACGGCAAAGGAAGACCTTTCTCTCTGTCTCTCTCTCTCACCGTCCACTCTGCCTGTCAAAAAAAAAAAAAAAAAAAAAAAAAAAAAGGTTTATTATGTGTACTACTTGTTCCAATCCTTTACGTATATTATCTTATTTGATCATCATGATAATCCTTCAACATCAATATTATTTTTCATCATCATCCCCATATTTTAAGTGAGGAATAAAGGCCAATGGTGGTGATAGAATCAGGATTTGGACCCTACATTTTAACTCTGAGGTTCGATGCTTCTAACAGTTAAGCTTTGAGTGGAAAGTTCAGAAAATTTTGGAAAAAAGTAGTTGTTCCAGCTGTATGAGAGAATGATGATCAGAATATCGTTCAGGTGGTGATGGGGATGAAGATGATCAGGTACTCAGTACTCCAGGCAGAAGAGGGGAATCATCAGCTGTTAGGATTTCCTATGTCAACAGTCAAATCACTGGAAGAAGACACCCAAAATAGCCATAGTATAATGAAGCACTGAAAACAAGAAAGTCCTTGAAAAAAACTGAAGAATTAACTGGGAAACAGAAATGAGTTTGGGGAAGCAGGGTGGGTGGTGTAGAAAAGCCAGACAGGCACCAGCACTCGTCTTCTGCCAGAAAACTGAGTACAAACTCAGGATCTGGACTGAAGATCAGGCAGGTGAGTGGCTGCTGCACATTGATTAAATCAAGTTTGCGATCTGTGGTCAGTAAACTGTTCTTATACTGATCATCCCGATCACCTCTGGGCTAGGAAGCTACATGGAGGGCTTAATGACTTTTAAATAGCTGACTCAGTAACTATGAATATCTAAAACATGTATTGCATTTTAATAAAATATGAGAAAATTTACCCAAGTCTTCAGGACCTTATAACTTGAAAAACCTTCAATGTGAAACTGTAAGTATGTATTTTTTTCTAAAACATATGTCTAAGCATTATTCCTCTTTGATTATCATAATGTTCATTTCCTTCTTTTCTTTCATTTATGGTTCCTTTATGTATTGGCAAGAAATAATTACAGAAAATTATAAAAGTTACATAGTTAATAAAAATGGAGCAGATAGAGTTCCATAAATGAAAAAAAATAGTCTTTTATAATAACTGGACCAATTGAGGTAATATAAAAAAAAAGGCTTACTTGCTATGATTTGGTTTTGGAAAAGTTAATAATAAACTATGTTCAAACTCTATTTGATTTTTCCATTTAGGAAACATTTATTAATGTTTATTTATAATTTTTTTGTGATTTGGATGGAAAGTAGAAGGGAAAAACAAATATGAATAAGACTCAGCACAGACATCAATGAGTTTATAACTGACTCCAGTTACTCAGGCCTGGTGACTGACGGTTTGACTATTTTGAGGTGCATTATACCTACTCCAAAGTGTGAATTGATCCACTGCCCCAAAACGTCTTCTCCTGTTTACCTGATGCGAGTATAGGTTGTATGTTAGATGGAATTAGGCAGAATCTAGGACTAATATCAGATCTCCAGTCTGATAGAGCAAATAACAATTTTCACTCCCTTCTTCCAAAGTGGGGAAGATACTTCTTAATTACATTATAAAATTTCTGTTTTTCTAATCAGTTCTTCAACTGGAAAGTGGTTGAATCAGCTCTGCATAAACTGACCCTATTCTCTACTTCCGTTACAACTGCCTTTATAAGTATACACTGTGGAGTGCTTTTAGGGGAGTACTCATGGCTTTGTGCGATGTATTTTTTAAGGACAGGAAAAGGTTAAAACAACTGTGCCCCGGATCTGGAGAGCAGAAATTTGTGAGACAATGAGCTAACATTTTGGATTATCTCCTTAGACCAAACATTTCCAATTGTGAAAAGCACTAGAATAAGTTGATGGGTCAAGGGGTGCCTTGGCCTAGTTTCTATCTTTGTCCTCGAAGCCACTCCAAATGAATTTCCTCTAAAATCTCTGTAAAAACAATTGGTTTGGTAGGCAAATGCAGCTTCACAACTAGCCCCACAGTACCCTCTTCCAACCAGAATGACTCCTCTAAATGCCCTTACATAAAAATTCTGAAGCAGTCACTGACTAAAATTCATTTCACTGAGGTTTGAAAGCTGTGCTAAGCCCTAGCCTGATCCTATCCTGGCACTATCATTTGAATTTGTCAGGATAAGCAAAACTCTTTATAAGCAAACCTCTTGCAAAGCTTGTACTGGTGAAGTGCAGTGAAGGATGGATTGGTTGAACCAATATGGCTGGGAAGATGAGAAAATGTAAATCTCTGCTGGTGGAAATGGAAGAGTATGAATCTCTGCTCACTCTCCGGTAAAGCTGGACTCGTGTGTGGATACTCACGGGAGGTGGGGCCCTGTCGCTCCCCCTCTTCGTGGAGGAACGACACTAAGCCCTGCCTAGGCTTCATATCCGAGTCACGGCACCATTATGTCGCTCCCCCTCTTCGTGGAGGAACGACACAGGACCCTGCGCTGTTCTTTTGTCTGCTCGGCCCTCCCCGGGTTTGCTGCTGGTTCTTCCCGGGTTGGCTACCGTCCCTTCCACCTCCGTGGAAGGGCGGTTCCCCCTGGCCACTTTCCCCACTTCCGCAGGGGAGCGGCACACCGCCGGCCGGCTCTCTCGGGGGCTGCACAGGTGTTCCTTCAGATAGATGTTCCCCATAGATGTTCCTGGTGCATGCCGTCTCTCTCCTCCTTTATAGTCCTCCTCTGCCAATCCCAACTCGGCTGCCCACACGCCGAGTACGCTGCTCTCCTCCAATCAGTAGCAAGTCCTACAGTTTATTGGTTGAACTGGAGGCAGCTGTGCGGAAGCTGTTTACTTCTCTCCCAGCGCCATATTGTGGGAGAGCAGATGCACAGAATAAGTCTTAATTCCAGTAACTCAGTCCAGTCCGAGCTGCTCCCCACAGGGCCCAAACTCCAAAATATCTTTTCTTCATTTTGGAGTTTGGCTTTGAGTGAGAGGTGACAATAAACCAGATGTAGCTGGCTCTTACAGGTCAGTAGGTCCCTCTCCTAATTCAGGTTGTATCTTCATTCTTGTAGGCTCCTTTCCTGGACCATGTACTTTGGGCAAATAACTCAGTTCATTTCCATGCACATCTTGCCAGAGCCTTTTGCTCCCCTGTGGAAGGGAAGTCCTGGACTGTTTGATTTTGAAGGCTTCTTCCAGCTTTCCAAGTACAAGTTTCTGGGTGGGATCCTTCATTAGGTTAGTGAGGTCTAAGGGGATCTGCTGGTGTCCAGAATCAGATGTTTGGATTAGTTATGTCTATCAGAAATGATAAAAGGCTGTCCTGATAAAGGAAAGGAGGTAAATAGGGGACTGGAATGATGTTCCTACTTTAAAGCACCCTTCACAGTTTGGTATGCAGAGCGAGGCTCCTTTTGTTGAAAGTGTTCAGAGGGTGTGGGCACCTTTATTTCAAGGGGAACCTTCAATTACACAAGACTAGCAAAGTTGTGGTAAACCCATCATAAGAATCAAAGAAAGTGTGGTTTAAGTCTTAAAGGGTGAAATAGACTGTAACAGATTGACAGACTGAAAGAGTCAGCTTTGTCATTCTTACTTAAAATATGAGCTTTTTAAAATATTTTAATTTATTATACTTTTAAAGATTAAAAATATTTTTTGATGAATGGTTAATTGCACATATTTATGGGGTACAGTGTGACATTTCCATACTTGTATACGATGTGTATTGATTAAATCAGGATAATTAGCATTTCCTTCTCTCTGTTGTTACTTTATCATTGGAAACTTGAGGCACCCATCTGTTCAGAGAATATATAATAAGTTATTAGGAGGTATAGTCACTGCCCCCTAACCCATGCTATTAAACACAAGGTACCTATTCCTTCTATTTAACTGTGACTTGTT